CCCCCACTCTGCCACCCCCCACTTTTTCCTCGGTATTTCTATCTTCCTGGACTCCCAGGCTCGCACGATTTCACACATCTGTCACGGGGCAGAGGTAGCTTTGCACAAATCTCCTTTCGCTCCTTCATCTTTTAGGACCATACAGAAATTATTTTTCTCAAATGAAATATTTAACCCAAATGTATGTTCGTTTCAGGTTTTAAAAATCAGTTTGATTGGCCACAGGAAACGGATTTTGGCATCTCTGGGAGACAGGCTGCACGAGGACCCGCCGCAGAAGCCCCCTCGCTCCATCACCCTCAGGGTAAGTGCTCAGGACATTCATGTTTTTCTCCTCTCTTATCCCCAGAATTTATTTTGGGCAATAAAATGAACTGACTGAACGAATCAGGAAGTACGGGCTGTTTTCCACATGGCCTACCTTACCCGTATGAGAAACAACCTCCCTTCCGATTGTGTTTTGTGAGACAAGATTTTTCTCTCTCGATTGGTTAAATGGATATTTTCGAGATTTAGATACGCATGAGACAAGCCTCCACCCTTAAGGAGCCCCTCCCGCACTGCCATCCCACACGCCCGTCTACACCAAGAGAGAGGAAATGAGTTTTCTGTCAGATTCCTCAAACCCACAGAAAGGAAATCGAACAGAGGCCACAGTTAAGTGAAGATCAATTTGAAATTAACCTTCGGGTCTTCTGTTTTATGAAGTAAATATTGCTCAGCTTTACCCACTTAGAAATTAAGGATAGAGAAGCTAGAACTCTATTTAATAAACGATTTCAGCTATATTTTAGAATTATGAGGGTAGCAAAACTAGAGAGAAACCCTAGATGTGGGAGAGAGGGGGAAAGCAGAGAGGAAGAATGAGGGATGACTGCCAGGCACAGTGGAGCGGGGAGGAGCCGCCCGTATTCACTGGGTTTCCTGGGGCCTCTAGGAACTTTCCCAAAATTCATCAGAAAGCTGGGCGCTCCGCGAGCGGCTGGAGAGTTCCAACTTTGTGCTCTCTATTTGGCCCCGCACTCGCGTGCTCCTGATTCCCTTTCTGCAAGTGTCAGAAAAGGTAGCGATAATGCCCGATGAACACCGCGTGGCACCCGGGCGGCAGGGCCAGCGAGGACATGCGGTCCAGTGCCTCTCACCAGGGAGTTTCAGCAAACAGCGTAACTGCTGGCGGCCTAGCAGAGGGGGCGGGCGGGAGAGGGCTGTTAAGATGTGAGTCTGATTCCGTTTTAAAGAAGAAAATGCACAAAGATCTCGGGAAATGAGAGAGAATTGGCTCCAGGAGGGACCCCTTAGGAAAAGTGATGATTGGGGCAGCTGGGCGACAATGGGACATTTGGAGGCTAGTTGGGAGCTTTTTAGGAGCAGTGAAAGTGGAAATCGGACCTATTTTCCTCCCTTAATAAAAGGAGCTTCAAATAAATTGGGAGGAAAATGGGGCTAGAAAGGGATTATTGTCTTGCCCTTGTTTTGCTACACCGAACGGGAGAAAGATGTAGGCACCATCAGTATAACCGCCCTAGAATGACTGTTCAGAGGAGTCACTCCCTGCGACGTACTGGGCTCTTTCCTCCCCCTTCTGAACCCGTCCCTCTGACTCCCTGGGAGAGATTCAGGAGAACAGAGATTCCCGAGAAAAAGTGCAGAACCTTACTTAGTCAAAACCTGCGGCGGGGGGAGGAGGGTTGGGAATGAGCACCCCCCAATGCTCCTCTTACGGGCACACACTAGGCCCACCTGCCGGCTGGCTGCCCCTTAGTCCCTTCTGGCCAGTTTCCCCCAGCTTGTCATCTTTGCCATTGAAAGTCAATATATGCACATCCCTGCCGTCTATACACGTGACATGCTCTGTTTCCTCACTGTGTCTTCTTCCCCACCTGATGCCAGGCCACTGTCTGATGGAAAGTCAAGCCCCATTGGTTCCCATTTAGCTTTCTCGACATGGCATCTACCATGGTGAGGACACAGCTCCTCCCCTTGTAAACACACGTGATCGTGTCAACGTTGCCCGACGTGTGTCCTCTCCCCTGAAACCAGCTGGTTGAAGAAAACAGCCGGACTCTTTATACTTGAAACCTTTGGCCTGAAATACTTAGGGGGGGGAGGTATTGACTAGATCATGCCATTCATAAGACGGTGGCAGGCCATCCATTCCTTGGCAGTTGATTCGAAAACGAGTCCCCACCCCCGCAGCCTGTCTTGTCAGTATTTCACTATTTTGCAACCAGAGGTTAGGCGCAAAAAAAAAAATGTGGTATTTACTTCATGATGTATTTCCATTCAGGAACCCAGTGGTAATCACACTCCTCCTCAGTTGTCTCCATCACTTAGCCAAAGCACTTACACCACTGGTGGCTCCCTAGACGTTCCTCACATTATCATGCAGGGCGATGCAAGGAGGAGAAGAAATGAAAACTACTTTGATGATATTCCCCGATCAAAGCTGGAGAGGCAGATGGCCCAGGTAAGGTGTTAAAAGCCTCTGACGTTTTTTGCCTTTCGCCCGTATCGGGGAATGCGTTCTAACACCGAGCGATAGCTGCCGGTGCCTGTCGTCCGCGCCAGCCGGAGTTTTACCATGTTACGCCATGGCTTTTATTCCCTGCTCACTTGACCTAGATTGAAACAGACCTTTCTGGGAATGGAAGGTACACACAGATCCTTGTTATTTGTTCTTGCTGGAGAAATTATATCCGATCTCATTGCATCCAGAAAAGCCTTTGCCCGAAAGGGAATTATTACCGGGCAAGAATCAAATCATAATGAAATCGAATAATAAAAGTCTAAGTTATCTAACGTGAATTGGCTGGGTGACGGGGCGGAAGTCAGGGGAAAGAATTCACTCCGATAATGTTGTTCATTTCCCCCCAAGTTTACATACCTGTATAGAATTGTACTGTTGGGACTAGTTGCGTCATCTCATGTTGTCACCTTAAGTGGCTGAAAATGATGATGCTGCCCGACACTTTCAACTGAAGAGAGCCATCTGTCACGTTCAGACCCTCCCCGTTGTTTTCGGTACGGACGTCCATGTGTCTGGCCTGTCCTCAGAGGGCAGCTCAGAAACTCTAGTCAGCCGTAAGGAACAGCTGCGCTGTTGCTAAAAGCACGCTCAGGTGGCCAGCGACCCTGCGGTTCAGCCCCAAGGTCAGAGATGCGGGTTTGTGGGCAACGATTGGCACTTTCGACTCCTTCCATCCTCACTCTAGGTTCAGACTGATGTGTGGAGAGGCTTCTCTAGGCCTCTCACACCTAAGATGAAAAGTTTGAGGTGAAAATTTGACTGTAATTGCTTCGCCTCGGTCGTTAAATATTTTTCTCAACGGCTTGGTGAGCTTCTGTTTTTAAAAGCCTTTGGTAAACATTCTGCCACTCACAAAAGAAAAAATGTGAAGAGAATGTTCTGGAAACCATGGTTATTCTGCCTGCAAATGCCCTGGGAAGAAAGGACCTGATATATTGCGTCTCCTCTTCACGCTCTCAGTTCTGAATTGTTCTCAGAGTTCTTTGTGCAGGGAATGGCAGTGTTGGGATTATGGAGAATCCTTTGTTGAAGGGAGATGGAAAATGCAGGAGAGACAGGAGAAAAATAATTTTTCCTTTCTCTCTGGTTAAGTATTGTCTTTTAATCTTTATTACTGTTTTCACTGATGTTCTTTTAAATAAAGAGTCTCACAGCCTTTTTCCTCAAGCTGTTCATATGTTTCCTGCTACTTGTTAGAATTTGTGGATCATGTATGTGCTTAAATCTCTCTAAAGACCGCATTTCAGAGACATGGTGCGTTTGCACCTTGAACCATGTAGTCTCTATGTATTAATACAAACGGGGTCTTTTCCGAACCCTCCTCTTTGCTGGGTAAGGAAGGACTGCGTGTTGATGAACGTTATTGACTGTGCCGACTTCAGGAACAGAATCGCCTAACTCAGCTGCTCATAGAATTTATGAAATTTCTCCACATGGTAGTTTTTTCAAACTGGAAATTAATTACCCTCCCTCCTATGGGTGAACCCTCAGAGGTACTCTAGCAAGATTGCTCCCTTACTTTCTTTATGAGATTCACAAGCTGGGGCACTGGTACCCTTTGAATAGCCTGGGTCTTTTTCTTGTCACTCCAGTCAGAATCCATCACTTTCGGGATTTGTCTAGCCCTTGAGAAAATTGAATGAACTTGTCTCTGGCCAGGTGAGAAGGGCCCAAAGGCAGAGAGAAGAGGTAGACAAGCGGCTGGGTGGGGCGTGTGAGTCGCGGAGGGTCTGTGAATGTGCCCATTCGCCTCACCTGTACAGCTTACAGTGAGCAAGTGACTGACTGTAGACACGGGCCTCCGTCGGCACCCAGGAGCTTGTTTAAAACTTCCTAAAATCCTGCTGTTCAATACAGCACTTTTCCTGCAGAGGAAATAGGAGGTGTTCCTACAAGAATCTGATCGATAAGGAAAGGCATTCCGGGATTGGCACTCTTTAGGTTGTGTTAATTGCAGCCTTTTATTTGTTTGCTTTAAGAGTGTTTCCTTGTCTGGAAATGCCAAAAAATCAGGGAGAAATGAACACGTATGTACCTTTTTAAAATAGTGAAACTTCAAAGATTTTAACCTGACAAGGTATTAAATAGTCCATTATTTTGTTGTCAAACAGTTTTATTTATGTGACTTTTCCACCATTTGACCACTCAGTTGATGTTTTTTCCTTTATTTTTCCTTTTTTTTGGTCCTTTGCTATAGTAATTTTTAGAATTCACTTGCTTTTTTAAAACCTGTTCTACTCTCTCCAGACCACATTCTTTCTCAAAGTTATGTGCTCAGCCAATAAAGCTGAGTCTCCCTGAAGGCTTGCACTGGCAGTTAAAACCCAGTGAGCAAGCAGCGGGCGCACCTCCTGCCCACCAGGAGCCCAGTGCCAGCGGGGCTCCCCCAAGGCCTTTCTCCCCAGAGGCTTGCTGGAGTTCGCCTACTGCCTGCCTAGCCAGCCTGTTTCTTTCTAAGTCGCTGACGTCCATCTTCAGGGTTCCTTTCCTGTTGCTAAAAGAAAGGAAAATGCAGTTAAAAGAGAATCACCAAGACAGATCCATGTTTTCAGAAAACGCCCTACTGTTTCAGGTTTATCTGAGCCCCCACCGGAGTGACCTGGACTTCCAGCCATAGGCCAGAACCCGTAAGCTCTTGGTGGCTGCGGGAATTCACAGGAGTTTTGCCTTCCTAAGGTCTGCTCCACAGATGCTTGGAAATGCTTGGAAATGCTTTGCTTAACTTAGAAAAACAATGCTGAGAGTTAAATTAAGACAAATTTAATGTCCATTCCACGCATTAAGCTCATTTGTTGGCAAATACTTTTAAAAGGTAACACTAGAGTGGTGTTTAATTACTTGTTTTCCATTTAAACCAATATTAAAGTGACCTGTCTTGGAATACAGGTGGTTTTCAAATATTGTGGCTATTGTTTGCTTTTATTCTGATAAAAGCAATATTCTGCCTCAAATTGTCTTAAATCAATATGTGGGAAACAAAGCTGAGTTTAGTACTAATAGGATTTGCAATGATGTAAACACATCTAAACAGCAGGTTTCCTGTTACGCTAAAAACACAGCTTTTCGAGCCTGTAATTCTAAATTAGACACATTAGCTCGGAAGTGCTGAAATATTCCCCTATCTTTATACGCCTAATAAAGAAACGTTGCTGTCACATTTATATAATAATACCTTCATGCAGGTAGAGCTTTTAACTTTCAAAATACCATCACATCTGTTATCTCATTTTAGCACAAACAAGGTATCCCACACAACCACTGATGTGCGTGTAGCATGTGGCAGATCGGCTTTTAAGTCGAGTGCTGTGGGGATGAGATAGTACATGAAAATACAGAAAAAGTATCAGAAGGAGGAAAAAGATTTCCAGTATTTACAGCCTGGCTCAATCTTTAGAAATGTTCTTGAATGATATTTAGGAGTCGAAGTACTCTTAGAATGAATACTAAAGGAGAGATGGAATTAATAACGTTTAGAGACCACTTTCTGCAAGGTCATGGAAAAAGGAAGGAGAGTTCCCTGGTGCGGAACTTCAAACCATTTATAGAAGTCCCCCATTTATGTAAGATACCTATGGAAAAGTGAAATAATACTTCTGTTTTCACAAAATAAAAAAACTTCTAAACAGGAATAGAAATGCATATTTTTGCACAAACTTTGGCTTAATATGAATGAGGAAAATTCATAATGTAGAAGCCCTTGGGCTTTGAATACTCTCATCTAAATGAAAATATTAATATCGCCTGGGGCAGTGACCCTATCTGATGCGCACAAACCTGAAAGCAGGCATGAGCCACATTTTAAAGGCAAGGAGACTGAGAAACTACATGACTTGGTCCGGGTAGCACAGCCCATAAGAAACCAAATTAGACCTTACCCAGAGCTATATGTGAGGCTCAGTAAAGCTTTATCTAAATTGCTTCTAAATCATAGAAAGTTGATTCAGTTCAAAGTCCAGCATTTTCTCGTCCAAACAGTACTACTTAATAAGTCTGACTAGATCAATTCCTTCTTTATTTGAAAGCGTTTTACAAATTATATTAGTTATACAAATGTTCATTCTTTTGATATTGATAGAAGATGAGAAATGGAAACTGAGCCATTAGAAGCCCTGCCCCGGTCATACCCACGCCTGGGACTCCAGGTGCTGTGTCTCAGTGAACCCCCATGACAGCTCGTTCTGTAGTGGAGGAAGCCCAGGGAGGTGAGCGCTTGACCTCACCAGTGGTACATGACAGAGCCAGCACTCAGGCTCTGTGCTGCCAGGTCACATCCTGCCACCTGCATGGTCCTGATGCCCCTGGGGCTGCCTCTGTTTACAGTGATATAAAGTGCTTTAATAACAGTTCAACAAACACCAATTTCCCACATGCTATGATAGATTACTCTTACATAGGCCCAGCGAGCAGATCGAGCATAAAATCACTAGTAGTTGAATGGAAACTTACTGAATCAGCTCATGGTTATCACCACAAGACCCTTTAAATGCAGAACTACCATGGTTATTTGTTGACCCTTGTAGTGGGAACCCACCCTGTGCATCTTGGTAGAACTCTGCCCTTCTCCTGTGCTTGCGAAGAGCTTTGCACATAAGTGTGGGAACTTCTTGCTTGTGGGATTTCTCCAAATAACAGATGCTGTTTCTTTAGTGGCTTTTTCAGTTGGAATTCTGATTTGGTTTCTTTCTGGCTGTGTGACCTGTACCAAGTCATGCTAGTTCTCTGAACTTCCGTGTTCTTGCCTTTAAAATGTGAATAATGCCTGCCTGCCTCGGGTTTATGTATATTAAATAAGATAATTTACATAAAAGCATATTTCAAACTATAAGTCACTACACACACACACATACATACATATATATATGCATAGATAGATAGATATATGACTAGCATATATGACTATCAGTTCCTAATTCAAAGGTCCTGATTCATTGTAGGGCCCA